GGGAAAATGAGGCATAGGAAGGCTAATATACCCATCAGCATTAGGTTGTAGAGCCAGGATCTTAACTCAGATGGTCTGGCTCCAAGGCCAAAGGCTGTCTAGAGAGGCATTGACAGCAACACTCCCCTCCCCACCACCATTTTCTCACAGGATTCTGATTCCAGTTCTTTCCCGCCTTAGCAATTTGACAAAGACATGCACTTCCAGGCTTGCAGGACTGCTTCAAGTAGCAGATGACAAAGGATCTGGCTGGTGTAATCTGCTGGGGTTCACCTCTGACATGAATTTAGGGAGCTTAAGCTCAGGAACCTGAAAAGAACAGCAGTCTATTGCTAGGTAAGAGGGTGAGTACCATGGCCTTTTCATATGATACAGTTAGGGAAAATTCAACACTGACAGTGATTTAAAGTCTTGGAAAAACCAAGCCATTGAGCAAGTAAGTAGTACTCACCTGGTTGGGCTGGTAAAAGCAAACACCATTAATAAGCATGTTGTGAACTGTCTGTGCATATCTAGCCAACTAGTGTCCTGTCTTGGCAGCTGCCCTGGCATCTCTTTGGAGGTTTGCATTGGTGAGCTTTGGTGAGGTCCTTCTCTGTAGACAGCTAATTCTGCATCTTTTTTGGTGTCTTTACATCAGTTTCTGAGCATTTGAAAATTTATCGTAAAGGTGACGTATAGAGGGGTGACAGTTATATAAGTCAGGCAATGAGTACATTTTTTTTGGAACAGTGTCATCCCCACCTCCCTCATTTTCTCCCAGTTTTTCCCCTCCAGACCCCCTTCCCTCCCAAGTTGTGTAGTTCATTTACAATATAGTGTCTAGTGAGTATCACTGCTGAATTGGTTCACTCTTTGTCCTGTTTGTGCTTCAACTTCCCAAATTAGATAAACTTATATATAAGACCCAGGACACAGAAATAAAAAGAAATAAAAAAGGCAACACACGAATGTAAAAGGAAAAAATTGTACCATAAAAACCTTGTTTCCATTTCTTGGAGTTCATTTCAATGAGCATCATTTTATATGATAGTATGTACATAGGGGATGTCTAGTTTGTTACCTCAGCGGGTGAATTTGCAGCAAGAAGTGGTTCATCACCCTAAGTTCTCCAGTGAGATGCAAATTCCACCTCTAGCAGGTAGGGCTGCTCCTTAAAGCTGCTATTCCTTTTTTTTTTTTTGGTCAGTTGTGGGGCCTGAACTCTGGGCCTGGGTGCTGTCCCTTGGCTCTTCAGCTCAAGGCTAGTGCTCTACCACTTGAGCCACAGCGCCACTTCCAGCTTTTTCTGCTTATGTGGTGCCGAGGAATCAAACCCAGGGCCTCATGCATGCAGGGCAAGCACTTGACCATGAACACCTTCCCAGTCCCTATTCATGTACTTTTCAGAGACCTTATTTCATACAAGTCAGTCCCTGTCACGATGTAGATAGCCACTGGTTCTTCATGACATTTGGAGCACTGTGTGTTTAGTTTCCTTTTGGACCTGAACTGACTTGAGCTGTAAGAACCACCTCACACCTCACTGCTAGCTTCTGTCTGGGTTCTTCCCCTGGCCCATTTTACCTGGCTAACGTGATAGTGGTAAGAACAAAGATGCTAAAGTGCCTGAGTTAAGATCTGGTGCCCCACACTGCAAGGTAGGGAGCTATTCAAACTCTCTACGATTTGATCTCCTTTTCTGTAAAATGGCGATATCTTAGTTTATTTGGGCTACTAGAACAAAATGCCCCATTCTGAGTCATGTGTAAACACAGATATGTATGGGTCACAATTCTGGAGGATAGAAAATCCAAGATCAAGGTGCCAACAGATTTGGTGTCTGATGAGGATATGTTTCTCATAAATGGTGCCTTCTCTGTGTCTCTGCATGGTGGAAGCACATGGGCTCCTTTGGTCCTCTTTTCTAAGGACACTAATCCCATTCTGCCCCTAATAGCCCTATCTCTTAATATTGCCACATGGAGGACAGGGTTTCAATGTGTGAAAGGGGGAGAGACACAAGCATTCAGAATACAACAGAAGACTGTGGGACTCTTGTGGGGATGAGTAAATATATGTAAAGCATTGATATGTGAGCATCATTCTCACACACATACTGGGTGTTACTAGTATGAATTCTTTCAACTCACCCTTTGGGGTTTTAGCACCTTCCTGTCCGCCACTACAGGCTGTTAGTTGCCCTTTCCAGTGCTTCCTCACGTAAGTTCATGGCATTGACCTCATGTCACTGCAGGTGTGCTTGTCAGTCTCTTTTGTAGGACTCAGCTTAAGCTCACACTACACCTGCAAGGTGAAAGATGTAATTGAGGCTCTCTGTGCCTAGACACCACCAAGACATGAATCTGTGAATGAGAGCTGCACTGGAGAAATACCTGAAGGAAAAGGCAGAAGGGACATGGAAGAGGCAGGGGGAGGGAGGAGAAGGGTCACAGATATCAGGGTTCTAAGAAAGGCTTTCCCAGACTACAGGGAGTTCTTAGGTCATTTGCTCACCTGCAGGATTATGGCTACCATGTGGTCACTGGCTAAAAGCAGGGGGTGAAGGCATGGCCTCAGAGTGAATGTGGTGATGGAGCTAGAGAAACAACAGCTTGGGCTGTCAGTCAAGTGTGCTCCCCCAGCAGGCCTGAGGAGCACATTTTCATGGCTGCCACAGTTACAGACAGAAGGTTGGCCACACCCCAAGAATGCAGAGCCAGAGCAGGGATACAGAATCTGTCACCTTGATGCAAAAAGAAAGCAAAGGTCCAGGATCCACTGAGCAAGAATTTATATAAATGCATGTGTGTGCGTGTTAAGAATAGAATTATTCAAAATTCCACCATAACATTGCTTCCGACTGTGAATTTCTTGCTTAGTTTATGTCCTTGTAATCAGTATGCAGGTAGCACTTTATATTTTTAAGAATTTTATATGAGGGGCTGGGAAGGTGGCTCAGTGGTAGAGCACTTGCCTTGCATGCCTGAGGCCCTGGGTTCGATTCCTCAGCACCACATAAGCAAAAAGCAAAAAGCCGAAAGTGGCGTTGTGGCTCAAGTGGTAGAGCGCTAGCCTTGAGCTGAAGAGCTGAGGGACAGCACCCAGGCCCAGAGTTCAGGCCCCATGACTGGACCCTCCCCCCCCAAAAAAAGAATTTTATATGATATTTATATCTTTTTTTCTTTTTTGCCGGTTGTGGGGCTTGAACTCAGGACTGGAACTTGAACTCAGGGTGCTGTATCTAAGCTTTTTCACTGAAGGTTAGCACTCTATCACTTTCAGCCACAATTTTCTGGTGGTTAACTGGAAGTGAGTCTCATGGATTTTCCTGACCCAGCTGGCTTCAAACCGTGATCCTCAGAACTCAGCCTCCTGAATATTTAGGATTGTAGGCATGAACAACCAGTGCCTGGCTTATTTATATTTCTACAAATTCCTATAAGTTTTTTTTTATCAGTATACATTTTAGTGGCTAAACACAATTCATAACTTCCTGAGTCACTGTTGTCCAACCTTTCAATTATTTCTATTAAAAATGTATTTAGTTAGGTGCCAGTGGCTCATCCCTGTAATTCTCATGAGGCTGAGATCTGAGGATGGTTGTTTGAAGCCAGCCCAGGCAGGAAAGTCTAAGCCCCTTATCTCCAATTAGCCACTAAAAAGCAGGAAGTAGAGCTGTGGCTCAAGTGACAAGAGCACCAGTCTTGGGCAAAAAAGTCCAGGCCTTGAATTCAAGCCCTATTACTGGCACGCACACACACAATAAAAATAAAAAAAATGTATTTATAGCTAATGTTCTTTTTTTTTTTTTTTTTTTGCCGGTCGTGGGGCTTGGGCGCTGTCCTTGTGCTCTTCAGCGCAAGGCGAGCGCTCTACCACTTGAGCCACAGTACCACTTCCAGTTTTCTAGTGGTTTATTGGAGATAAGAGTCTCATGGAGTTTCCTGCCCTGGCTGGCTTTGAACTGTGATCCTCAGATCTCAGCTTCCTGAGTAGCTAGGTTTACAGGTGTGAGCCACCAGTGCCCAGCTTGCTAATGTTCTTAAATACGTCTTTCAACACATACTATTTAATTTCTGTTGGGTTATAGTGTGATTGGACCAGAATATATAGGTTTGTGATGCTTACAAGTTCTTTTTTTTTTTTTTTGGTCTGGTCGTGGGGCCTGAACTCTGGGCCTGGGCGCTGTCCCTCAGCTCTTCAGCTCAAGGCTAGCACTCTACCACTGAGCCACAGTACCACTTCCCGCTTTTTTTCTTTTTGCTTATGTGGTGCTGAGGAATCGAACCCAGGGCCTCAGGCATGCAAGGCAAGCGCTCTACCATTGAGCCACCTTCCCAGCCCACAAGTTCTTTTTTTTTTAAACCATATTTTTTTTTCTAACCATATTTTATCAAGTAGTAATGTACTTAACTATTACCTATGGCCTCATTATTTCTATGGGGCCAGGATCCAGGCACACCTTAGTTGTGCCCTCTGATTCTGGGGTTCTCAATAAGCAGCAATAAAAAGGCTGGTAAGGCTGAGGCTTAATCTGAAAGCTGGTCTGGATAAGGATTCTCTTCCCAATTCATATGGCTGTGGGCAGGATCCAGTTCATTGTGGGCTGTTGGATGGAGGTCTTCAGTTTTCTGATAGCTACTGATCAGAAGCCACCCTATCACGCTTCCTGCCACCTGGGCCTCTCTAGCATGGCAACTTGTTTCACAAAACAGCAGTCTGCTAGGAAGTTACAATATTTTCTAACTTAATCACAGCAATGGCATACCCTCTGATAGCTTTGCTTACTACAAAAAACACCTGAACTGGGTACCAGTGGCTCATGCCTGTAATCCTAGTGACTCAGGAGGCTGAGATCTGAGGTTCATGGTTCAAAACTAGCCTGGGCAGAAAAGTCTATGAGACTCTTATCTCCAATTAACCACCAGAAAACTGGAGGTGGCATTGTGGTTCAAACTGGTAAGCCTTGAGCTGAAGAGCTTAGGGACAGCTCCCAGGCCCAGAGTTCAAGCCCAAAAAAGAAAAAAAGACACCTGAGATACTCAATTGTAACAAGGCTATTTTGGCTCATAGTTTTGGAGCTTACAGTCTATATAGTTGGCCCTATTGCTTTTAGGTCCATGGTAAGTAAGGTGGCCTATCAAGGTGGAAGTACATGACGGAGCAGAGAGAATGAGGAAAGGGCTGAGGTACCACTAGCCCCTTTGAGGGCATATCTTCAATAACTCAAGGATCCCCCACAGCTACCACCTCCCAAAGGTTGCACCACCTCCCAAAAGTGCTACCCTGGGCACCAAGCATCTAACACTCCTGCCACTGGGGGACATTCCAGATTGAAACTACAGCACTCTCAATGTTGCCATATTGTATTACTTAGAACTAAAGGGAGCATGGGGAGATTACACAAAGTCGAGAACAGTAAGTCCATAAATCACTGGCAGCCATCTTATGTCACTAAGAGTATATACGATTATATCAATTTCACAACTTCAGTAACAGTAAATGCACCAGTGTTTAAATATGACTAGTATAATTGGTGCAAAACGCCTATTATACTAGTCATATTTAAACACTGGAACATCTTCCACATCTCCAGCCTCTAGCCCTTACCTTACTGTTGGGGCAGATCTGCAGGAATGCCTGATGCTGCTATCCTGGCTCTTGCTAAGATTAAGAACAGATAGGGCAGTAGTGAGGACTTGTGAGAAGCCTAGTATGTCCAGACTCCAAATAATATTTCTCCAGCCAAATAGGTGGCCCATGTGGCCTTTCATGTTCAGTAGAAACGTGTGCACACCTCTCTACTCGGAATGACTTACTCTTCTCCTCTAAGTTTCCCCCACTGAATCTCTTCTTTGCAATCCCTGATCATGTTCTGTGGCTGGGAAGGCTGCTTGCTTTGGACTGTCACAGTAAAGGCTATTTTGCAATTTTTTTTTTTTCTCCTTCATCTACCTACAAGCAGAGCTCCTGCCACATTAACTTCACTCTTATCAGTTCTAGGGGCTTTCCTGGTTTCCTTACCACCTACCTCTCTTTGGGGTTTCCCTTCTCTCTGTGTGCCATTTGCATCCATAGGACCCTACTGATCACATTAACTGTAAGGCTCTACCTTAAAGCAGCCTCAGGCTAACTTCATATCTTAATCTCTTAAATCTTCTCACTTCTACCACCGAGGAACTGGGGTTTGACAGATAGGTAGATGGATGGTTGTTTGTTGCAGGAGTTGATATACTATAATCATCTTTGGTGGTAGACATAGCCTGACTTCCACAGTCCACTAGAACCCAAAGACCAAGTAGGAGCAATACCTTGTTTATTTAGGGAGCTGTTTGCCAGGCCCTTCTCCAGCTCATGGCTCCACACAACTGAATAATTCTTTGAGGTAGTTGTCTTCTCCCTAGTTTACAATTGAGGAAAGGAAGGTTCAGATCGTACAAGGACTTGTCTAATGTCACCAAGTCTGTAAGTGGTAGGCAAGGAGAGAATCTACACTAACTGTGGTTTGACATTTTTGTGACCTTGGGCTAAGGGTGCAGAGGCATCAAAGATCTTCTCAGAACGTACTCGTTATCTTGCCCATGTAATTGTAACTCCTCTGTACGGTATTTTCACAATAAAAATAAAATTAAATTAAAATAAAAAAATTAATTAAAAAAAAAAAAGATCTTCTCAGGTACCCGAGCAAGGTAGGAATGTCCTGGTGAGGGGTTCCTCAGGAGTGGCCTTGGTTCAGTGTCCTCCTCCATACCTGCAGTACAGAGTCCCGGCGAGTGGTGTAAGGTAAATGTTTGATGCGGAACCAGTGTTTAGGGATGATGTTCCCACTGGGTGCAAACAGCTTTTCTCCATGCCTGCCTAGAAGGCTGCGCAGGGCCAGGTTGCCAGATAGAATCTTCTCATAGAATTCAACTCCACCGCGGGCATAGTCTGGAGATAGGGAAGCTGTGCGACGGTCCAGCCAGCCTTCCAGAGCATGAGTGAGAGAGTCTGTGCAGAAGGCGTAAGCCACAAAGCCTGCCAATGCTGCCGCCAAGTTGAAGGCAGCTCGTAAGCTCCTAGGGCCTCCATAGAGCCCTAGGGCATGCTTAGCACCCACGCTAAGTGCCCAGGTTCCTGCCAGGCAAGCTGGGGCTGGCACAGCCTGCAGGGCAGCTGCACTGCTCTCCAGGTACACCACCTCCCTGGCCAAGGCGAATTTCTGGGCATCATGGGACAAGGTCAAGGCATCTCTTAGCCGAGTGCCTGCTGGGCTTTGCCAGTCCACTTTTTGCCCATGTACAATGACTGGATGATCAGTGGTTACTAGGCTACCCAGGAAGATGGCAGGGATGCCTACTACAGCCCCAGCAGGGAGTTTTGGGAAGCCAGCACTCAGAGGCTGGAAGATGAAGGTAGTAAAGGGTTTGTAGGAGTGGCTTGATGGGACACCCAGGTCCTGGAGCACCTTTTGGAAGAGGTTCTGCAGCTCTGGGAAGAGTGGAGCTGGCTGGCCCTGTGGCCAGTATTGGTATAGCCACCGGACCACGGGATCTGGGCACAGGTGGTATGAAATTTGAATTCCAAACAGGCCTGTGCAGGAACCCACCAAGAGAGCCGTCCTATGTCTCTGTACAAAGACTGCTGCCCTCCACAGGGGACCAGCCATCAGTACTGTCGCTGGTGACAACCTGGTCAAGAGAAAGAGAAGTCAGCCAATGGTTCCCAGTTCTGCTTGCAGAATGAACATCCTTCAAGGCTATTTTCTCTTCCTCCTTCTTCCCCTTTAGTACTAGAGACTAACCTATGACCTTGCAATTGCCAGGCAATGGCTCTACTACTGAGCTACAATTCCCAGCTGCTTTTTTTTAAATTTTGAGACTGGTCTTGCTAAATTACCCAGGTAAAACACCTGCCTCAGCCTCCCAAGTAGACGGAATTATAGGCATGCTCATCCACAACCAGATGCCCATATCCTTTTTTTTTTTTTGGTGCTAATGCTAGGGTTTGAACTCAGGGCCTAGGTGCTGTCCTTGAGTGTTTGTGTTCAAGGCTAGTGGTCTACTGCTTGAGCCACAATTCTATTCCTGGCTTTTTGGTTGTTAATTGGAGATAAGAGTCTCACTGACTTTTTTGCCCAGTTTTCTTAAGACTGGTAATCCTCAGAACTCAGCCTCCTGAGTAGCTAGGATTGCAGGCATGAGCCACTGGCCACATCCTTTTTAACTTAAGTAATACAACGACTGTAGTTAGAAGTATTTTAGTATCTGGCATAAGCAGACATTCCTTCTGATAATAGCTATAATATTTACTTTTTTGTGCCACTATTGGGGTTTGAATTAAGGGTGTGGATGCTGTCCCTGAGCAGTTTTTGCTCAAGGTTAGCACTCTACCACTTTGAGTCACAGCTCTACTTCTGGCTCCCCCCCCCCTTTTTTTTTTTTAAATTGCTATTATAAAGGTGATGTAGTGTTACTATTTCATAAATCAGGAAATGAGTACATTTCTTTTGATCAATGCCACCCTACTTCGTGTGTGTGTGTGTGTGTGTGTGTGTGTGTGTGTGTGTTAATTAGAGATAAGAATCCCATGGGCTTTCCTGCCCAGGATGGCTTCAAATCATGATCCTCAGATCTCAACCACCTGAGTAGCTAGGATTTCAGGTATGGGCCATTGGTGTCTGGCTTGTAGTTATTATTTTTATTCTCAAGACTGGGCACAGCATCAAGTACTCAACTGCTTCATTCTACCCACCATTCATCCTACAGTGAAGCTTGTGATCACTCACCTAAAAATGTATCCCATGTTTAACTTGTTGAACACTTTATTATATGCTAGACAGAGTTCTGAGAACTTTCCCTATAGAGTTGTCCCTCAGGATCTGTAACAGCTTAGTTCCAGGACACCTTGTAGATATCAAAAGCAAAGGATGCTCAAGTTCTTTGTGTAAAATGGCACAGTATTGGCATATAAACTACAGGTTGTCTGTGGCTGCTTTCCTGATAGAAAGACAGAATAGCTAGGACAGGGACTGTCTGACCAAGCAAGTCCTAAAATACAAGATGCTCCTTTGCTTTGAAGTTTGTTGATGTTTGAAGCATATGCACATTCTCTCTTATACTTTAAACCATCTCTAGAGTATTATAATACCTGATACCTAATGTAAATGCAGCATGTATTTTCGGGAACTTTGGAGCTGAGCTTTGAGATCAGGAAAGGGTTAACAGGTTGGAACACCACCTTCTCAGTACTCAGAAGCCTGAGAACTGGACTCTGGAAAGGTCAAAACAGGCAAGGCAAGATAAATGTATGTTACAACTTAACTGGACCTGATGGTATCTGAGTCACAGTTGATTGGCCCCTATGACACAAGACAATGGGAATAAGATGAATGTTGGTGTTATGGTCACCACTTCTCATTGTTCCCTAGCTATAGGAAGTTAGTTATTACTATGTATACAAATTATGTCTTATGTTAATGATAGTAACCACAAGATAGATTAACAGCTTGTTTTCTGTACCACCTATAGTAATTTTTTTCCTGTACTGAACTAAACAAATAAACTCACTTATGGGAGCTAGGGCTTCAAAAGCCAGTGGATGCTGGACCCCTGGTACCCTGTTCTTCTATCCTCTGTCTCCTTTCTTGTTTCTTCAGCTCCAGGATCCTGTCCTGCTGTCCCTGGTTGCAGTCAACTACAATGTATGTTTATCTCCCATTGCCTAAGGATTAACTGCAAGGGAAAAAAATAAGTGCTTTCAACCTTTGGTTAGTTGAATCCATGGATGTATCCATGGTTATGAAGGACCAGCTGTATTAATGAATAATGCTGAGTAAACTATTAGGTAATAAACAATTTTAAACAATTATTCCTAATAAACATAAAGAAGCATTTATATATATACATTTATACACACACAACACACACCATAGTGGTCCCTCTATATCTGCAAGGGATTGGTTCCAGCATCCTTACAGATAACTCAAATTCACAGATGCTACCGTCTTACACAAATGGTTTAGTATTTATGTATTACCTCCATACATTCTCCATGTATTTAAAATTATCCCTGGTTTACTTAAAACACCTAAGGCAATGCAAATGCTATGTATATGGTTGTTATTCTGTATCGTTTAAGGTGTAATGAAAAGAAAGAAGTCTGTACCTGTGGATAATTTTTCTCCCCAAATATTTGGGACCTGTGACTGGTCAAATCTCTAGATGTGGAACCTGAGGATACCAAAAACACACACAAATCTGATGTACAGACAGTTAAGCAAATGGATCGAAGTGACAAGGATCTGTGTGTGTGTGTATTACTGGGATTTGAACTCAGGACCACCTTCATCAAATGTTCTATTACCACACTTCTAACCCAAAGTGGCAGTGTTATGAACTGATTTGTGTCCCTCCAACTTCACATACTGAAGGTCAGTATATGAGATTATGGCTGTTGTTAGGGTCTTGAGAAAGGAAAGGAAAATGAGGATGTGCTCTAATCCAATCTGGTGCCTTTATAAAAAGAGACTGGGATGTAAACACACAGAGGGAACAGGAGCATCTTGGAAGAAAATGACCATCTGCTAGCCAAGGAGAAAGGCCTCAAGTGATACCATACTTGCCTATATCTAGGTCTTGGACTTTTAGCCTCTAAAACTGTGAGAAAATACATTGCAGATCAGGTCATCCAGTCTGTGGTACTTTCTTGTAGCAAGCCTAGCCAGCAAACACAGGTGCAGTGTTTGTTATAGACTGAGGGATGTCCACAGCAAACTTGTCATTTTGGACAACTTGTTATGCTAAATCACATACAATAGTGGAAAAAACTGCATGCCAAGGCACTGTGCTAATGGTTCACATCTGTTATCTAAGCTTCTCAGGAGGCTAGGATGAGAAGACCATGGTTTACTAGGTCAGAAAAGTCTGACACTATCTCCAGTGAACCAGTAAAATACTGGACTGGTGGCAGATCACTAGCCAAAAACAATAAAATTGAGAGCCACCCCCCAAAAAGCATGTCAAGGATTGGGAATGTGGCTTAGTGGTAGAGTGCTTGCATAGCATGCATGAAGCCCTGGGTTCCATTCCTCAGTACCACATAAACAGTAAAGGACGGAAGTGGCGCTGTGGCTCAAGTGGTAGAGTACTAGCCTTGAGCACAGAAAGGCTCAGGGACAGTGTGCAGGCCCTGAGTTCAAGCCTCAGGATTGGCAACAACAACAACAACAACAAAGCATGTCAACTTCTCTCAGCATCAACTCAAAGCTAATACGGTTTCACCTTCCTACCCCACCCCTTTTCTGACAGGTTACTTTTTAAAAATTCTTTATTTTCTTGTGAAGATGCCATACAGAGGGGTTACAGTTACATGAGTAAGGCAACGAGTACATTTCTTGGTCTGACAGTTACTTTTGAGAAATGCTCTACCATTTCGTCAGTGAATGTCACTAATGATCCCAATTAACTATGATTGAAACCCACCGTCTTCCCATCTGTGAAAGGCAGTGTTTACTGAGCAAGGTGTGGTGGCAGACAAGCATGCAGGGTAACTAACTGCTCCGCCCACTTTAATCCGGAGCTCCCGCCCACGTCCCCGCAGTCCTGCAATGCTTCCCAACCCGGAAGCTGGAGGTCTGCGTCCAGATCCCCGAGCCCCTCGGCCCGCCAGCGCCCAGGCGAGCTCGGGGATCGCCCGGGAGGCCGGCCGCGGAGACCTGGGAGGCCATGGGTCCCGGCCATACTTCCACCCTGGGACCCTAGGACTACTTCCACCCTGGGGCCCTAGGACTTGTCAGTAGCACGAACACGACCCCGCCGGGAATCTAGGAGCCAAGAGTGGCTTCCCAGGCCACCCGGCGCCCGCCCCGCGCGCCGCGCTCACCTCAGCCGCGGCCCCCACGAAGCACCAGCACGCTGGACGGCCGCAAAGCACGCCGGTCTGCGCGCTGGGGGCGGGGCCTTTAGTGCGGGGCTTGGCCCTCCGCTAACCCGTAAGGGGCGGTGGGGGCGGAGCTCCAAAGGGGCCGGGACCGGAAGTTATCCCCAGTCGGTGGGGTGGGGGGCGGTGTGGAAGGGCGGGTTGGGGCTCGGCTTTTGCCGCACCCGTGGGATATTTCGTGTGGCGGGGGGACGCGTCACCCAGCCGACGCTCAGGGCAGCACCGGAGGCCCGTTCCTAAACCGAGGTCCTTGGGGGCGGTCCTTAGGAGCCGGGACGTTGGCAGTCCCCTTTAACCTCGGAACGGCAGCCCTGCCTGCGTCCCCGGGCGGCCCGTGGCGCAGCCCTTCCGTCCTCGCCCAGTCAGACGGCCACGCCCATGCCCACTTGGTGGAACCGCCCACTAGCTTTGAATTGGCACGTTCGGCCTGCAGGGCCGGCTCTCTACCACTTAGCCCACACCTCCAGCTCTGCTTTTTGCAGGTTATTTTGGAGGAATTTGGGCTGGCTTTGAACGGGGAATCCTCCAGATCTCAGCTCCTGAATAGCTAGAATTACAGGCATAAGCTGCCCCGCAGCTGCTCTAAAAAGTGCCCGCGCTGCACAGTACACAGTGCATCTGCCACCTTTTCCTCAGCTGTAATGTGCGGTAGGTCAGGAATAGGCTTGCCTGCAAGCCAAACCCCACTAGCGACCTTATTTTTGTAAGTGACGTTGGCTGCTGGTCACAGCCATTTCCTTTACTGGTTGTAGCTGTAGGGCAGAGTGGCAGGGGCAGAGACAGTCTGGCCCAGCAAGTCATAAAATACTACTGGCCCTTTGCAGAAAAAGTTTTTTTTACTGATCCTTGGAAGAGATTATCCCCATTTTGAAGATGAAAAAAATGAGGCCAGGAGCTTTGAGCAAGGGGTATACACTAGTATGCACTGGAGTAGGAGGGTTTTGTGTCCCTGAGTATTTCTCTCTGGGCAGCGTTTCCTATCAAAGAATTGACTACAGCGTATCAATCAAGACAGGCCAGTCAAACCATGTCTGTTCTCAGCTAACCCTGTGCTTCTTGAATATCCCATGGGGGCATCTTGAGGCCAGTGTTTCCAGTCTCAGACTTGGCCCTGTAGCCTCCTGTGAAGTTATAAGCTGGTGAGACAGAGGTCCTGGCTCACTCAGGTAGAGCCTCAGACCCGGGTTCAAAATCACTGCTTAAGGAGACTGCAGCCCAGAAAAAGTGAACTTGCTTGAGTCACAGGGGGACTGGGGATCATAATGCCTCTCAAGGAAAATAGTGGCCTAGGTTTTTCATTGTATAGCTAATATGAGCAGTCACTTCAAGTGGCTTGTCTTGAAAAGGAAGCTCTGGTCTGAGTCTTCCTTCAATCTTAGCCTTGGAAAGTGTCAGTGACCACAAATAAGCTTTCCTATGGTGAAGAGCTTCAGACACCAGAGCCAATCTGCCTGGTCTTAGATCTTGGCTCTACAACTTCCTGGCTGTGTGACCTTGGGCAAATTAACCTCTCTAAGGATGAGAATACTACTTACCTCCCAGCATTGTTGTGGGGATAACATAAGCTCATAAATGCATAATGATCAATACAATTGATGTCATCAGGCTATTATTAAGGTGTCTTCTCATTCTGACATAAAAATTGGCTGCTCAGATGTTTTGTAAATCCGTGTAGCCTCAGCCAAATATAGGATGTACAGTCTACAAGGCAAATGATGTTCTTCCACTGAGCCACCTTCCCAGCCCGCAAATGATGTTCTTTATTCAACAAATCCATAGCATACAAACTACAGACGGTGCCAGTGCCTCATACCTGTAATACTAGTACTTAGGAGGCTGAGACCCGAGGATTGCAGTTGAAAGTCAGTGTGAGCAGAAAAGTTTGTGAGACGCTTATCTCCAGTTGAACAGAAAGCAAGGCCAGAAGTAGAGGTATGGCTCCAGTGGTAGAGCACCAGCTTTATGTGAAATCATTGAGCAAGAGCTTACAGCCCCAAGTACCAGCAAAAACAAATTTAAAAAAAAAAAGAAGAAAGAATAAGATACTTGAAAGGCAGAAGATAAATGTATGTGACTTGCTTGGATCTGCATTAAAGTAAAAAGACACTTTTGAGACAATTAGAGAATTTTGAATATGGATTGCATATTAGATGATATTAGTGAATTATTGCCTTTTTTTCCAGGAGGGGTTATGGCATTGAGTTTTCATAAACCAAAAAGTCCTTATGAGAGATATAAACCAAAGTATTTCTAGGTGAAAAGACATGATGTCTACTACTTATTCTAGTTAAAACAAAACCAAAGGGTAATGAGGATAGGTGGTAAAGAAAAAACAACCAGGAGGTGGCGCTGTGTCTCAGATGGTAGAGTGCTAGTCTTAAGCTGAAGAGTGAGAGATAGTGCTCAGGCTCAGAGTTCAAGCCCCACAACCAAAAAAAAAAAAAAAAAAATCATTTATTTGGGGCTGGGAAGGTGGTTCAGTGGTAGAGCGCTTGCCTTGCATGCCAGGGGCCCTGAGTTCGATTCCTCAGTACCACATAAGAAAAAAACCAGAGGTGGTGCTGTGGCTCAAGTGGTAGAGCGCCAGCCTTGAGCTGAAGAGCTTAGGGACAGCGCCCAGGCCCTACGACTGGACCAAAAAAAAAAAAAGAAAAAAGAAAAAACAACCAACCAAATTAACAAGAAAACAATAGTGGCATAGATGAGATGAAACAACATTGACTAAATGCTAGTATTTTTTCCTTTTCTTTTTATTCCCTTCCTTCCTTCCTTCCTTCCCTCCTTCCTTCCTTCCTTTCTTTCTTTCTTTCTTCCTTTCTTTCTCTCCTCCTCCTCTTCCTCTTCTTCCTCTTCCTCCTGCTCCTCCTTCTTCCAGTCCTGGGGTTTGGACTCAGGGCCTAGGCACTGCCCCTGAGCTTCTTTTGCTCAAGGCTAGCACTCTACCACTTGAGCCACAGTGCCACTTCTGGCTTTCTCTGTTTATGTGGTACTGAGGAATTGAACCCAGGGCTTCATGCGTGCTATGCAAGCACTCTACCGCTAAGCCATATTTCCAGCCCATGTTTGTTTGTTTGTCTGAGACCTGGACTTGAACTCAGTATCTGGTGCTTTCACTCATTGACTGAACCATGCCTCCAACCATGAAATGCTAGATCCATGAAGGAAGGGTTCAGGGGTCTCCATTATACCATATTCTATTTTGGGGTATATTTGGAAGTTTATAGCTTAAACTATATATATATATATATATATATATATATATGTATATATATATATATATAACTATATAAAAACTATATATATATATATATATATATAGTGGTATGGAGGGTTGAATTGCTAGGCAGGTGCTATCTTATGGTGTGAGTCACACCTCCTGTCCTTTTTTTTGTCTTGGTCATTTTCAAGATAGGATCTTAATATGACTGGGCAGGCATGGCTTCCATCCTCCTACTTGTGCTTCTTCATGTCTCTGGGATGACAAAATTGTGATGCAGACCAAAAACTTGAACATAAAATACATATAGTTCTATTTATCCCAGACTAGCTCAAACTGGTAGTCTTCTGCCTCAAGTTCTAGAGTATAGAGATTATAGGTGTGTACCACTGTGCTGGCCTATCTTTTTTTTTTTTTTGGGTCCGGTAGTGGGGCCTGAACTCTGGGCCTGGGCGCTGTCCCTCAGCTCTTCAGCTCAAGGCTAGCTCTCTACCACTTGAGCCACAGCGCCACTTTTTTCTTATGTGGTGCTGAGGAATTGAACCCAGGGCCTCGAGCATGCAAGGCAAGCGCTCTACCACTGAGCCACCTTCCCAGCCCCCGGCCTATCTTTTTTAAAAACAGGCCTAGGTGGCTCTTCAGAGAACCATTGCTCTAAAAATTAATGTCTAGGCTATACAAACCCCATCTCAACAAAACAAAACAAAGCAAAAATAAATAAAATATTGTGTTGGATAATCTTGGAAGCATGCTTTCTTTCTCACAAAAAGAGAGAGATACTCTAGGTCCATTTTATTCTCCTTGTCCTAAGATATTGAAGCAGATACTGCTCCAAAGGTCTCTGGTTCCTTTCACTGGCAAACTGTATTTGAGGACAACATTCAGGTGCTTTGTGTCTTTATTAAGAAAATTTCAGTTAATCAATAAAATAGAATGCACTTTTGAAAAAAAAAAAAGAAAAAAGAAAAGAAAATTTCGGGGGGCTGGGAAGGTAGCTCAGTGGTAGAGCACTTGCCCTGCATGCATGAGGCCCTGGGTTCGATTCCTCAGCACCACATAAGCAAAAAGAAAAAAGCCAGAAGTGGCACTGTGGTTCAAGTGGTAGAGCATTAGCCTTGAGCTGAAGAGCTGAGAGACAGCGCCCAGGCCCAGAGTTCAGGCCCCACGACCGGACCCCCCCCCAAAAAAAAAAAAAAGAAAGAAAATTTCAGCCTGTGCCAAGGAACCCTAGAGTTTCTCCTATTCCTTCCTGCAGTATTTTCAGGGAGTCTGCTTGTACCTCAGGGTCTTTGATCCATTTGTAGTTGATTCTGGTGTAGAGTGATATATAAGGATCTAATTTTAGTTTTCTACAGGTGTTTAACCAATTTTGCCAGCACCATTTACTAAAGACGCTGTCTTTCTTCCATCTTATTTTTTGGCTTCCTTATCAAAGATTAGTTGGCTATAGGTAGGTGGGTTCATTTCTGGGTCTTCAGTTCCATTCCCTTAGGTCTGTTTTTGTGTTGATGCCAAATTGTTTTGTAATAAGAGTTCGAAGTTTGGTATTGATATTCCTCCAGCATTGTTTTTTCTATTTGGGGTCTTTTATTGTTCCATATGAATTTTTTTATTGCTTCCTCTATTTCATTAAAGAATGAGGTTGGGATATTGATGGGTATTGCATTGAATTTGTAGATAGCCTTTGGCAGTATTTGGCAGTATTTGGCAGTATTTTCACAATGTTAATCTTGCCAATTTAGGAGCATGGGAAGTTTTTCCATTTCCTTAGTTCTGC